TGTGTGTGTGTGTGTGTGTGTGTGTGTGTGTGTGTGTGTGTGTGTGTGTGTGTGTGTGTATATATAGGAAAAAAAGTTGCAATTTAAACCAGTAAGTATTTCTTCTTATGTCTAAGCTTTAGGAACACGGTGCTTTTATTTTGTATTTTGAAAAAAAAGAACATGAGAATTTAACACACATACAGACTCCCTGGATCCTTTCCCCCTAGATCTGTGCCTGTTTATACAACACTATATAACACTGTTAATAAATAAAATACCATACCATACTTTTTTAAATACCATACTAGCCAGACAGTTGGTGATGGGTGCTGCTAGCCAGTTGTCTTCTCTTTAGTCAGCAGTTCAAAATTAGTGACAGTGGCAGACAGCCTATATTTAACACTTACGTAGCTATAAAGTTGGTAGTGTGCACTGCTAGTTACTTTCCTTCCCTTCAATAGTTGTATTTTCATGACATTAATTAATCAATTCTAATATTTAGTAATCAATTATTGCAATAATCAAAAACAGTATTGATCAGAAACATTAACTTTGATTAATCAATTGCTTTGCCAATCTCTACTCCTTGAATTCACATAACGAACGAGTAAAACAAAAGTGTTCACATTTGTGATGTCCAATTGTAGAACAAAATGGTTTACATTAATCTGAAATGGCCAAAAGCAGAGCAGAATAGTGTGAAACAAACAGTTTCAAGGACAACTTACCTTTCCGGTTGGCTCCAGTCCAGGTCTAGTAGTGACAATCATGACAGTTGATGACCGAACATTTTCTCTGAATTTGAAGTTTGTAAAACAAACACTGTGGCTCTGAATACACTGGCTGAGACCCTTTTCAACAGAGTAAACCTGTGTAATGCCAGCTATAGTTCCTTCCTGCAAGAAAGGCCATTTAATTCTAAAACTCATCACAAACTTGTTTGGGTGTTTACTTGCTAAAAGTCTTTGATGATTCCCCTAATAACTCGTTTTCTGTTTAATCTATATTATATTCTCAGCTTGTCCACATAAACAGTGAATATTAACTAAAGAAACTTGTGACAATCTGCTGAGTCAATATAAAAAATTGCAAAATATACAAGTGGAGAAAATTTTTCGAACCATATATGTGTTTATATATATACACACAACTATAGATAAAAGAGGGTTATAGATATATATTTTCATAGTTTATATCTGATACATCACAAAAAAGTTTTGTAAAAAATAAATAGTACAGTTCCAAAGTTTTAAGGATAACTTTAATAGGTCAAATGACTTAGAGTTGGTTAAAGATCTAAAAATCAAACCAGAGTGTGATTTTAGATAAATTTGTTAGAAAACAAAACATAGAAGACAAAAGCAAGAAAAAAGAATTCGTATTTTATAGAACAAAGTCCATGAAGAAGAAATGAGCAGATAAGATAAATATAAATGAAAACAATAAAGAAAAAGTAAAGACACTCAAGAAATGATTGTTGGTAGATTATTCACACGTTTAATTAAAAAAAAAAACTTTTACCCCATTTTATAGTTAATTATTACAATACGTTTTTAATGATATTATCATAATTTTCAGATATTACCTCTGACAGAAGACCAGTCAAAGCACACCAGTTCATACTGGAATCAACAGTATAATTTACAATTTCAGAACCCTCGAGACGACTTAGCCTCAGAAATATCTTTTGTGGAACATTCCCAGCTACAAGATAAAGCATTTTGTATATATCCAAGTACTAAAAATACATTCACCAAATAAATTACTGTGGTCTTAATCAAACTTCAACAGCTTTAAACAACTTATTACTACATTTCCTACACTGATTAACAGTACTTACAAATTATCCAAAAGAAAAAAATAAGCAATCTTTAGTGCTACAATGACCTGTAATTCTGGTATAATAGTTGTACTTACAATTACAAGACCTGAACAAGGTGTCATTTGAGAATAGTGGATATCTGAATAAATACCAAAGCATGTGAAGTTACTGAAGAAATTACATTTATATAACTTTTTGACATTTTAGATTATACTATGCTAAATAAAACACTTAATAGTTACCATGAGATATATAAGTTTAGAATAATTAGTTGTGATGAATTTGGAGACTTTTTTTTTTTTTTTGCAGGACTGCACTTAGGCTTTATAACCATTTACTGGATCATTAAAATTCTCCCATATTCAGACTCTGAAATGTGTTTAATACAATTACTTACAATTTTAAACTGTTATTAATGATGTGTATTCATCAACTTCTACAGTTCATATTCATCAATATTCTATGATGTTAGACATCCTAACTGAGGAATGAATCCATAGAATCCACTTAATAAATCCATAGCAATTAAGTAACTTCATTTCAGTAATTCTTAGTGATTTTTTTTTCTCTTACAGTCACTTATTATGACTGTTCTAATGAGGCATTGTTCATGAGGGAATATTTTTTTCTGTGCACTGCAAACTCAGATTGAGAACTCCTGCACTAAGGCACCATCAATAAAAATCTGCACAAAAATGAGAAAACTCATGTAATCATCAACATTCAAGCAAAATTGATGGTTTGTTAAAACTCTGGAGAATTTAAGAGGTTGTTTACATTTTATCGGTATTGGTAAAATGCCATTGTTTTATCAAGTTTTTGACCAACTTAAAATGTGACTTACATTCATCAACATTCCAATGAAACACAGCAGTTTCTGTGACAATTGCTATTATCTTTGTATTGACCCAGGTCCAGTAATGTACTTCTGATGACATTCGGTATTTGGCGATACTCTTTCTACTTTCAATGTCAATCACTTGAAAATGCAAATCAGCTGAAATAAAACAATTTCATAATTTATAAAAACAACTTTCTTTTGTTGTAATGGTTAATTATTACACACTCTTCCCACCAAATACAACTAATATTTTTAATCCTACTTGTAATAACATTGAGTCACTAATATTGTCTGTAACATCAATGAACTACTAAAGCTGCTTATTAAAACAATGAATGACTATAGGTGTTTGTAATAGCAATAAATTACTAAGACTGTCCACTATAACAGTCGATTAATGTGGCTGTTTTTTACAACAATCGATTAATTAAGCTGTTTTTACAACAGTCGATTACTAAGGCTGTTTGTTACAACAATCGATTACCAAGACTGTCCGCTATAACAGTCGATTAATGTGGCTGTTTTTTTACAACAATCGATTAATTAAGCTGTTTTTACAACAGTCGATTACTAAGGCTGTTTGTTACAACAATCGATTACTAAGGCTGTTTGTTACAACAGTCGATTACTAAGGCTGTTTGTTACAACAATCGATTACTAAGGCTGTTTGTTACAACAGTCGATTACTAAGGCTGTTTGTTACAACAGTCGATTACTAAGACTGTTTGTTACAACAGTCGATTACTAAGGCTGTTTGTTACAACAGTCAATTACTAAGGTTGTTTGTTACAACAGTCGATTACTAAGGCTGTTTGTTACAACAATCGATTACTAAGGCTGTTGTTACAACAATTGATTACTAAAGCTGTATATAATTAGAGCTGAGCAAAGTAATTGGTTAATCAAAGTTGGTGTTTCCAATTATTACCATTTTTTGATCATTGCAATAATTAGTTAATTGAAATTATGATTAATCAATTAAACAAAAATACAATTAATTGAAGGTAAAATAATTAGTTGGAAGCACTCACTGCCAACTTTCTGGCTACTTAGGTGTCAAATAAAGGCTATCTAACCACTGCCATTAATTTTGAACTGCTGACTACAGGAAAGGAAACTGGCTGGAAGCACCTGTTACCAATTGTCTGGTTATTATAGTGTTAAATAAAGTTAAAATTTACTGTTTTTTTATATTGTGTTATGTTTCTAATTATATTTGGTAACTGTATTAATTAGTGTTGTATAAGTAGGTATGGATCTAAAGAAAGAGGTAAAAGGGGTCTGGACCCTGCCTAAATTCTTCCCAGATATTAATAACTATTCTTTAATGTTGTAGCAGCCAAAAATCATATTCAATGATTAATTTTTTAAGTAAATTAAGAGCTATTTCTTAATTTTGTACAAGCAGGTGTGGATTTAGGGAAGGGGTCCAGGGGGGGGGGGGTCTGGACCCTCCTGCATATTCAGCAGTACTACAGTGAATTTAATGTAAATTCAAAAGTTTTGCTACTAAAGGTCTAGTTGGAACCTCACCCCTACAAAGCCCTGGATCATACATGATAAGGTGTAAACTGTAAAATCTACTTTTTTTTTTCATTGTGTTAAAATTTATAATTCTATAACTTTATTCAGTAGTGTCAAACAAATTATCAAGTTTCTTTTTTTACATCATCTATGTGTTATGTTTGTAACACCATAACTCTTACTTTCCTGAATTCATGTTCTGGTGAAAGTTGTGACAGGCACAAGCACATCTGGAACACTGAACTTTCTGATCACGGGGAAAACACTATCAATTCTGCAATCCCTCTCCTGATTCTGAAGCAATATCCTTTATCCACTTTTTTAAGACAGTCATTTAATGATGTGATAAATTATAAATGTAAATTCACTAATTGATTTTCATTACTATATACATTATCTAATATGTATTTTATAATAGTTAACAAATCAATAATATGTAACACTGTTAACTTGTGTTGTTAGTCTATTTATATGAGCAGAATTCCAGTTTAACTATGACTAGCTCTATTACAAGAATGTTGTAGAAAGCAAGGAAGTGTGAAAACAAAAATCTGGCTAAAATCACGAGCAGCTTAGACAAGTCCTAGTAAGTAGTAATGCTAATGTATACAAGTTGTTTGTCTTATTGACTTCTCAGTACACGTATTTGACAGTATATTCCAGTTAGTATTGCAAAATGTATTAAATTCACTTATACAGTTTTACAGAATTCCTTATCATATATGCAGGCAATTTTAATAAGGTACAATAAAATAAAAAACTAGTGTTCACAAACTTTAGGTGTAACAAGAGATACTCACTGGTTTAAACTATCAATTATTTGTTGTTGTTTTTTTATGTAATACAGTGTGAAAAACATTCCAAGCATTTTTCTTCATTCATTAATGGTTTTCAAACTTTGTAAGATAAAGTCATGACTATCAAAAGTCTTAATTTACAAAAATAAATTGATTTTATTCTAATTTTTATGTTGTTTTGCTCTAAACTTAAACTACTTAAAAAATATCTAACATACTACATTTTTACTTAAGCTAAATAATTATTTGCCTAATAAAAATTATTTAAGATACCGGTTTCCCTTGGTTACAAACCATTTCACTAACTACATAGTTACAGGTTCAAAATCTGAGGCACCAAAATTATCATAAACAAATTTAGGAACATGTAAAATAATACTAAATTGTCTAGAAAAATGTACACTGAACAGGATTATTCAATAGATGAATGATAGTGAATATATCTTTCATCATTTCTAAATGAATGCACAAGCTTTACACAGCTTTTGAGGTATCCATTATCCCATATACCACAGCACATGTGAATGGTGGTCAGCATCAGGCAGTGCAGGTAATCCATCTCTTTTTGTATGTTTACTTAATATGGGATAATGTTAATCATAAATTAATTTCTTTCATAGAATATGCAAAAAAAAAAAGTAGGTGTTATGGGGAGCCAGACTAGTTTCGGAGAATTCCACTCCTCATCAGTGACCCTGGATACTACCACCAATGAAATATCAGACCAAACCAAGCCTTCATACTAGTGAGGTATTGAAAATCAAAAATTTTCGATGAAAATAAGTTCATTCTGATCCTAGCTAAATAGACAGTACAATGTTTACTAGTTGGCAAGAAACTGAAGAAAACTTGTGATGATAATGATACTAGATGTTCTCTTTGTAGATATTAAAATGATTCATAAGGTGGAAATCAAAGTATTATAAGAAATGTTTTAAAAAACAATAATACCAAAGAAATACTGAATTACAGATGTTTTGAGATTTTGATTCTAAATCGATCACAAATTATGGGAAAAACTTTAATTAACAATGAGCAATTCTATAAACATAAAACACCATAAGCCTTTATGCAAGTTGTTGTTGATAAAACAAAAGTTTAAAAAAACATACTGAAATAATTAATTCAGTGGTCATGCTATCCTACCAAAACTTGGGTCTTTTTAACACTTGCCCATTGAAAATATACATTTGTCAAACAATGAAACGATAGACCATTCCAAGCTTTTACTTGTTGTTAAACAAATGTTTAAACGACTCTGTTCAAGTATAGAAGATAGTTAAGTGACCTAGATACCTCTCGTATGAGCCTGAGGTTAGATACATAGAGTTCTGAACGAATCTAATAGACGTGTTGAGCGTCTCAATGACCGCGAAGTTATAACTAAGTGAGTTAAACCTATTCTACAACACGCCATACCAGTCAAACGCCTCATAGTGCAAAAGACATTTTGAGCCGAAGGGTGTGGTAAAAAAAGTGACAAATCGATCAACCTATCTAGTAAGAGACACGAAGTCTAGCGATGCATTCAAAACCTGTGTATCTGGGGCAAGTTTTTAAACACAACAGGGTGACGATGCCGGTACTCTTAAGTGTATATAAACAAATGAAGAAATCCTCACATAAAATCTGTACACATAAACACTGCTGTTTGAGGTGGGGCTCTAAGAGGTGACAAATTCATTCCCCAAATACCATCCCTTTGTAAAGTGCATGGTACTATCTACACCCACCGCTTCCTTGCGCTTATGGTGACGTCGTTCTTATTTCTCTACTCCTAATTTCATTTTTTTTTGCATAATTTAGAGAGCTTTCACGCAGGCACACACGCTACTCTTAATTATATAAATCTCCAGTAGCGCCTGCCTAATCCATGATTAATGTATCTTGTACATTAAAGGAAACAGTGACATTATGACCTGCATATAGGCTAAGCTTGTTACGTGTGTGGTATTTTCGGTTAACAGATTTACCAATGATTAAATTAGTTAAGGCCGTTAATTAGATGTTCAAGGAAATAGTTCGGAGTATGTTCCTCCCTGAACTCTGGCCGTTGCACAGAAAGAGACAGTGCAAAAAATGCATAGTAGAAACAAGAAATATTTACAGGTTAGTCTAAAATTATCTTTCCAATTTTAAAATTTAATAATTAAATAGCTGAGGAAATACAATCATGCAGTTTTCAACATCTTGAAGACCAACTCAAACCGTTTTTATGGTCATATTTTTTGTTGTTTTTTCACTCCAGTGAGTAGTGTTATCCCATAAAATGGTAACCGTAAAGTCTCAATGCGTTGTTTGGCTTGCAGAGACCAAGTCAGTGACTATGGCGCAGTGTAATTACATACGCCAGTACAGGAAAGAAGTATGGGGTATGTTAAGGATATCGTGTATCGCACACCAATAACAAGCATCACCGAGCTAAAGACTAGGATAACGAACGCCACCGCCACTGTAACTGTTGCAGTGAAAGTGGACTGAAATCGAATATTGGTTAGACGTTCTGAGCGCCATTAATGGTACACATCTAAAGTCAACTGGCATGTCAAAAAAGAACTGTTTGAGTTGAGCCACGAGATGTTGAAAACTGAATGGTTGTGTTTCCTTAATTAGTTAATTATTAAATTTTAATATAGGAAGTACATTTTGAACCACCTTGTATTATACACAAAAGCAAAACACAAGGATATGTGCAAGTTTATTTGTATGTTAGTCGTAGTAGTGGTAGGTACTAGTATTAGCAAGTAATTTCTGTTGAAAGTGAAAGTTATCTGTGAGTTAATGCCCACAACTGTGTACAAGTATGTATGTATGTGTTTCCTCATAGTAAAGCCA